GGTGGGTAGCCATCCAGGGTACTCATTAGAGGGAGACAGACTGCTGTACCATGGAAGATTTGTGATGCCCCATACCTTGATCCACATCCCAAATTTACTCCAGGAATTTCATGGAAGCGCAGTTGGGGGCCATTCAAGAGTGCAGAAGACCTACAAGAGACTAACGGTCGAGCTTTACTGGAAAAGAATGCATAGAGATGTAGAGGAGATGGTGGCAAGGTGTGAGATCTGTTAGAGGAACAAGTATTTGGCTATATCACTAGGGGGACTACTACAGCCGTTGGCACTATCGGGACTAGTCTAGGAGGAGATATCCATGGATTTCATAGATGGGCTGCCCCATTCAGAAGGTTTCACAGTGATCTTAGTGGTGGTCGATAGATTGAGCAAGTATGCTCATTTCATCCCCCTTCGACATCCTTACATCGCGATGATAGTGGCTTCAGCATTCATTAGAGAGTTTATCAGATTGCATGGCGTACCAGAGGCGATCGTGTTAGACACAAATAAGGTGTTCCTCAGTCATTTTTGGAGAGAATTGTTCAGGTTATAAAGGACAGTTCTAAAGAGGAGCACCGCTTACCACCCACAGACAGATGACCAAACAGAGGTGGTAGGAGCTTGGAGATTTATTTCAGATGTTTTGTGTCAGAGACGCCCAAACCTTGGGCTAAGTGGCTGTTTTGGGCAGAGTACTGGTACAACACGTCTTTTCACTCAGCTTCACAAATGACTCCATTCAAGATGCTGTACGGAAGGGACCCCCTCACTTGGTGCACTTTGGGAGTAGCAGCACTCTAGTTTCTTCAGTAGTGGAGTACTTGGAGGAGAGGGATCGAGTGATAGAGGAATTGAAGAAACATCTACTGAGAGCTCAACAGATTATGAAGAAACAGGCTGATGGGCATAGGAAGGACATCCAGTTCGAAGCAGGAGAGAAAGTGTTTTTAAAGCTCCGACCATACCGGCAGAAGACAGTGGCCAACAGGAGAAATGAAAAGCTCGCTCCAAGATACTTTGGACCTTATGAAATATTGGAAAAAATCGGAGCAATGGCATATTGACTGAGACTACCATTAACGGTGACTATTCATCTGGTTTTTCATGTGTCACAGCTGAGAAGAGCTATTGGAGATTATACAACCAGCTCGGAGTTACCAGTCACGCTTACGGAGGATTTAGAGGTGATTATAGAACCCTCAGAGTTGATGGGGGTTCGTCAGAAAGAAGAGGGAGCGAAAGAGGTGCTGATCAAGTGGAAGAATCTGCTGGACTACGATGCCACATGGGAGCCGTACGAGAGGGTGAAACAGCAGTTTTCTAGTTTTCACCTTGAGGACAAGGTGATTCTTTGGGAGGGCGGTATTGATATGGCGGTTCCACTGGAACCGCCTATTGAGGCGGTTCCTTCTGAACCGCCTCAACTGGCCCCTCCTGGGCCGGCAATTGTTTACAAATGGAGGCTCAAAACCGCCTCCCCCTTGCCTAAAGTCTCTTGCCGCCTATGGGTGGGGTCCAAAGCATTCGAATTTATTTGAAAATTATTTTTTAGGAAAGGGTTTAGGCCATGGAAAGTCTTTAAATAGGAGAGGTAGGGGGAAGGGAGAGGCATGCTTAGATTTGAGTTTCTCTTGGAGTCTTTTGAGGTTTGAGGGCTCTAAACCTTGCATCTAGAGATTGTGAGAGAACGATCCTCCTCTTGAATAAAGGATTACTTGCTTTTTATGTGTTTTTCTTTGCTTCCCTTATTGCAATCTACTGTTTTGGGGGCAGTTTTCGCCCAAATTTTGCTTATTTTCTTGCTGTTTTCCTCCAATTAGTGATAGGTTTGCTTACGAACTCAAGTATTCCCTTAGGGTTACTTGCGAACTCAAATATTTCCTATCATCATGTGCTGCATAAAGGTGAATATGTTAACTCTATTTGGGAAAGAGGAAAATTTATGCTGCGTTCTCTTTAAAATAATGAAATTTATATTATGGCTTGATTAGATATAGAGTAGACTAGAAAAATGGTTTGTTCCCTCGTAGAATGGGATGTTTGTGCTTGTTTGAAAAGATAAGAGGGCAAGGGAAAATAAATTTTGTGACATGTAATTTTGACACTAAATTCAAAATGAGAGAGTCAAAATGAGAGACATTCCTCATACTTATCAAATCTCCAGCATGACCCTTAGCAAGTAAGCAATGCTCCTTTGGGTGCCTTGTGCATTTTATATGCAATGGACGTTGAAACGGCTTGGCAATTCGGAGTTCCTTGGTCTTCCTCTCTTTAGGTGTGTAAAGCATGTACCTTCTTAATCTTGATGACTTGGATAACTTCATATTATTTATTTGTTTAATTTTTTATCAATGAATTTAATGGTCTATTTTCTAGAAAAATAGAGATTTAGATCACGATATAACTTTTAGATTTTAAGGGTTAGCATTCAGATTTTTTTACCTTTTTTTAATTATTTTATTATTTTTATTTTTTAATTTTCTTTTAAAGGTTTAGTGACCAAGTTGGAGAAGCGCCTATGCAACTTTATGTGATAAGTGAATATCAATGGTAAGTTTCATGAATTACAATTAGGATAGCTATGTTTTTGTATGAATATGAGTTTTGATAGTTAAAAAAAGTTATTGATAGCTATGTTTAGCCTACTAGAAATGTTAATGTATAGTTGTGTGTGGCAAAACTTGAAAGGTTTGGTTGATGAATGATTGTATTTGAGGAATAATCAGAGTAATATTTATTGTAGATGGAATTGTAACAAGCAACTTAGTTTGTGTGAACATACATTGAGGGGTATAAATAGTTATAAGAAGGGTAGATATAGCTAGTTTCTATGGATTAGGAAGGAAAATATATAGACTTGAGTAACATGAGTATAAATTGTTTAAAAATAGTTACATATAATTGGTTTAACTAAGGATGTAAAGGAATTGTGCTGCACAAATTCTTATCTTGTTCAAGCTTGAGCAAAGCTTGAATGTTACCCTAGTTTTAAAATCTTGTTTATACTTATTTATCATCGCCCTATATAATGCGAGCTATAATTGAGCCTAACGAATATATATGTTTCTAATAATTTAAACCAGCAATCTTATTCTTGAGAAATTATCATATTTTTTCATTACAAAAATGATATTAAGTTAAAATTATTTATAATAGTTTCAAAAACTCAAATGTTAATAAACCATTCAGCTTTTTGCTCATTTTAAAATTTCATCCTAACTTTATCTTGTAGTACATCACTTTTAAAGAACTTATGACTTGAAAAAGTTATAAAAATATAAAAAAGAAGTTATTAAATAAGTTACTATATCATTATGAATAAGTCTTTTATTGAGCTACTTAATAATTTAAAAAAAATATTCATGAACACAGAGGAATCAATGGGTCAGTATAGTTTTATTTGTTTATATATCGAGCTTCCAAGATTTTTTTTTAAGTTTGTTCAATTATGTAAGTAAACAAATAGAAATGGTCTTTATATGTATGAGTATTGCGTGTAGTAGTGGTTATTCTCTCATGAGGTGCCTTAAGCCTATGGCTTTTTTCTTGATCACTTTACATTGTATTCTTTTTTCATTATTCATTTTCAAATTTGATAGATTTGTTTATAAGAGGACTGAATATAGATTATGGTATAACTTTTGGAGATAAGGCTGGGTTATTAAAATGGAGAAGTACCTACCAGAGTATTGTGCAATAAGAGAATAAAATGGAGGCTTGAAGGTAAATTGTATTAAATAATTAGGTTGGATATATTTATGAATCCAAGTGTTCCAAGAAAAGAAATGATTGATAACCAATTTGATTGTGCTAAAAAATAGGATATTATGATGGATGTGTGAAAAAACTATAAATGTTAGGTTGAAGAATGATTGTATTAATGGTGCAATGAGTGTAGCCTCTATTAAAATAAAGGTAGTTGAGAATAAATTAATGTGATGTGAACATATAAGAATGATAGACAATGCTAATGCTGGAGGATTATGAAGGCAAATGTAGATCAAAGGAACATGAATGGATGAAATTCTACACAATATGTTTAACTAACATCTATGTCACACACAAGAAAAATGAACAGGCAATCATGATTTATAAAGCTGACCTCAAATAATTAGAATAAGGTTAACGATGACCTTTAAACTATAAATACACAGTGCATTATAAAGGGTGTGATGTCAGTAATGTTAATGACTTTAGTCTAATATTATAATCTTTCTTTTTTCTTCTTATAGCCATACACAATCTTTTTACTATGCTTTCTAGGCCTTTTCTTAATTGAATTTTTGTCTTCAAATTTATAAGGCCACCTTTTTCTCTTTGTTATGTCTTCACTGCAAAGTGTAACTGATCCCTTGTTCTATTGTTTTTTTGACAATTTTTAATTATAGAAAGGTAGAGCGTTTTATGATTATATGCTTATAGTTTATACTGTTGTGATTTTTGATATTCTAAATAAACTTGTGAAAAATGTATAATATACTTTGGAAGTCTAGTTTTTGAAATATTGTTGTGTGAATGCTAAATCGTTGATGTCATGAAACTTGGATGATTCTTTTCTATGATTATTACGTAATTACAGCATTTTGTCTTCTATATGTTCAAAGTATCAATTTTTATAGCTACTTAATAAATTCCAAAGTATGAAATCCACAACATTTGGTTTCATGAATCGACTTGTTCATTTCAAAACACATATTAAACTAAATGATACCCCGGATTGCTGTCCACTATCTTAAATGACGGGCATATATTGTGATTTGTTGTTAATAAGAGGGAAAGCATGATGGGAATAATTCTTCCACCCTCATAGAGTTTTGAATGAAGGTAGTTGTTCTGCTACTTCTATATCTGTAATTGATTGTTTTCTTCTGTAATGGGAAATCAAATATACTTGATTTTTTCTGGTTTATGTTACATGCTGACTGAATTATTGTTCAATGTTTTTGCTAATTATGATTTGTTTATTTAGCATATTTCTCCCTTGTTGATCCTGTTCATAGGCGAGTCACCATCATCATCTGCTTCTGATGTTGATAACTTAAATAATCAAGGAGGGCTTGATAAGGTTGCTTCAGCCAGGGCAGTCAGCTCTCCCCAAATTGCTGGCAATCATGCAATAGCTTCCCGGAATCGTCCCCATGTTATACGATTGCTTACTTATGTAAGTTGCATGCTTTGACTCTGTTGTGAATGCATGAGCACAGTTATTTATGTTGTATCTTTTTCCTCCTATGCGTGCTTTCAATTGCAAAAAATTAATTTCCCTTGTGTATTATGATTTCCAAGTTGCTTTGAAGAGCATGTATCTTTTGAAGGCAGTATTTTTTTGGGCAGGGGGTTTTGGGGAGGGCATGCGCCTTTGGAGTGGGTGATTTGAATTTGGTTAACATTAGGTTAAGTTCATGAAGTATTTTTAATGCGGCTGTTAGGTTTAACTTGTTATTTTGATTTTCTTGATCAAATTTCATTTTGTAAATGTTAAGCGGTAGATTATAACTTTTATTAAGATATTCCTTGCATTCTGAGAGGATTTTTTATGGAATGCATGGTTTTTTGTAGCCATCTAGGTGCAAAAAATTAAAGTTCAAGGTGTTGATTTTTGTCTCCTTTTGCAGTAAGGATATTCAAACAGGCCGTAGCATTAGCTGAAAACATAACTCAAATAGGAAAACAATGTTGATATTTGTTTTTGTATGGTGTTTTTATTTTTTATTATTTTTTTTTTATTTCTGAACATGCAGTTCAAGTTTACTAATACAGTTTGTCTTTCATTTCTTTTATGAAAGTATTCAAGGTCTTGAATTAGAGCCATTTCAGGCTTGGGAAAATTATTCCAGGTTTTAAAGTAGAGTTTGTTAGGTTTTGTTATTTGGGTCATTTCCTAAGTTTTAAAGTCACTTGTTTTAGTTGCAGTCTGCTGCTTAGTTACGCTATAGTTCTTGATAAAGTGTCTGGTTGCCATGTCCTGGCTATGAGTTGTTGTTAAGGTTTATGGTTCTCATTTAATATTGAATGGCTCAGGTCTTACGATTTGATAATAACCTGGTAACTATAGTTTAGATTCCTGTTTATATTTATGGTTTTTCTGGGGAAATGCATGCCTTAGTAATGAGAAAAGATGGACCTCATGCATCTGAAAGAATTGGGAAGAAAGGGATAGGATGATGCGGATGCATGTCGAGTACAAGAAGGGAGCCAGGGACCTGATGCAAGATGTTGTTGATATTGAAAGATTTAGAGGTTGTTCGATTTGTTGCATTAGGAGTGTCATGTATTCCAAATAAAAGAGTTTTGAAAATATTAGTGTTTGGTTTGAAAGAAAAGAAATGCAGAGTAAACTTTTGAAGTAAAAGTAATTTACTCTTTAGTTAAAATACAGTGTATTTGGAAAGTCCTCATATTTGAGCAAATTACAAATACATTGGAAAGTCACAGATATTGCTACCGCTGGCTGCCGCCACACCACAACCATGGCCAGCAGCTAGCCAGCGCTTGCCACTGTCGTTCTCCGCCGGTAGTTGCCAGCCACCGCTAGTCAACCTCGCCACTGCCGAGCCCCCCATTGTCGCCAGCCACCCCCGCCACCACCTCGTGTCCTAGGCTGGCCGCCATTGCATTCACTTTATACTGCCTTCACTTTTCTTCAAGCCAAACAAAAAAAATAAAAATTTGCATTTACTTTACACTCAACCAAATTAGTTCAAAGTATTTCAAATACATTGTAATCTTTTTACACTAGATTCTTTTTTCAGGCAACCAAACAACCTCTTAAGTAATATTAGAACTACACTAAAATTCAAGGAAACGAAACAATTATTTAAAACATGGATGAAGCATGAACGCAATGTTTTAGATTTTCCATATGATGCATTTAGTAGATTGGATCTATGGTGCATATAATCATGGATGTAAGCAATAGATATTCAACATAGAAATTTACATGAGATTTAGATGAAAATAACCAAGAGTTCTTGAGATTGAAATGTGCTAGGTTTACATCAACGGTGAGATCATACCAAATCATTAGGGTTCTTTATTTTCAATGTTAGATCTAGAACTCTGGATGCAGCAATATTAATTATCACATTTTCACAGGTCGAAAGTGATACCGAATTCCTAGAAAGATCATGTGTGTTATGTATTTGTAAGAAATTAGAGTAGAACCAAATAAGCTGGATGTGTTTTCATTGGTTTCTTCTGGCCTGACTTTTTGAAATAAAAAACTTCATGGTTTATAAATAGAAAATGTCACACACGAAAGTGAAGAGCCTAATGTCGATTCTTAAAGTTGGACACATAAATGCGCTCTACAAAGTTGAAACTCGAACAAACAATTCTCAATACGTGTTCTCCCACATATATTTCTTACAGAATAATGCCAACTTGTGCTTTCTCAGGTTTCTTGAAACTGAAGACATAGAAAACAATAGTTAGATATGCTTGGGTGGGTTTTGGTACATTTTATATATCATTGATTTATTTGAAGCTGCAACTAAATGCTATTCTGTAATTTGGTGATTGCAAATAAATTCTCTATTCATTGTCGTTAGATGGTAGATATATTCTTGAGCGGGCTTGCATTTGGTTATTTTGTCACAGGGGTAAATAAGCTTAACTTGTTTTATGTGCTATTTTTTCCAGACAAATTATCTAAATTGTGCTTTTGAAGCCACCAAGAAATCACAGAATGCAATTGCAGCTGCTAGTGCAGACCTGGGAAAGAATGGCATTGAGGTGTGCTCAGCCAGTAAAGTTCTTGATTTTAGTTTCCACAATGTGGAAGGACTGTTGCGGCTTGTGCGACTATCAATGAATTCCATTGTTCATTGACTGAATAAGGTGTGTGGTACTTGTCATTAGACAGCATTGCTTGGTATTCCTCTGCTATGCACGGTTTTTTCTTGGTGAATGTTATCACTTGGTTCATGGATTCAAACTGGTACCAAGTTCCTTGCACATGAAAGGGCTTTGAAGGAGAACTTGTGTGTACAGATGAGTTGGTTGACAACTTTGTAAAGAAATTTTTTGCGGTCTAGGATATTTCAGTCGTCGTGGTTCATCTGCAGTAAAATTGAGGTAGTTATTAGGAGTTCGGATTTAATTGATCTTTGCGCTCAGGGATGAGCAAAAATGTCTACTAACTTGGCTGGTTTTGCATTCGGGCCTTCAAGAAATTCATTTGTCACTCTTGCATTCAAGAAGAAGATGTGCAAAATGTCGTGTATTTAATGCAAATTGTTTTGCCTTGCCTCACTTTATCAAAGAGGACCTGTTGCATGACCTGTAGATACAATCATCAATTGATAGAGGCAATTTGTGACTGCACATGGTACATACTTCTTTTCATTTTGTTTTTGGGGAACATTTAGTGCAGATTTCTATTATTATATTTTTTAAATATATTGTCCTAATTTTTTGGTTTTGAAATTTATGCTTCAACTCAGTACAGGTCGATCTATTGGCTCCTGCTTAATTAGGATCATGCTGACCATATCGTGGATTGGAATAAAAATTTCTTTTAAGATCATGGGGAGGCAAATTTTATCCATCAAGAAGCTTGGTACTTGTAGAGGTGAAGTTGGCTGAATCATCGACTAATTTATTTCAGATTATATATTTTTTTTGGATCAAACCTCTAATTTTTTATTTTATATCTTGCTACATTTTATTATTGCAGGATTGCTTTTATTTGTTTCTCACCTTTTTGATTTTTTGATATGAACTGGAAGTAGTTTGTTGTGAAGCAATAGCCCCTTGCTCCTAATTGTTGAGATTTGCTTTAAGAATACTATTTCTTGATTCAGTCTTAGCGTTGCATGCTGTGCCAACTCCAGCTTAAGCGAAATGTTTTGTGCAAATTATAATGTTTCAGTCAATCCGCCCCTTTTTCTCTTTATTTCATTATCATTAATTCTATTTCACCACATTATTAGTCAATGTTTTCTCTCCTTCATACATGTCCAACAATCAAAGTTTTTATTCTTCAACCATGTGCCCAAATGGTTTTACTCCCATAATTTCTACAACATAACTTGTTCTGTATTTTCTATTTATGACACAATTACATCTATTTTTCTGTACAATAGGTTCAAGTTTCATAAATCTATTTCCAACATATCACAGGCCTCAGATATTCGATTTATTGATACACATCCACTAAAATATCTAATCATTTACTTGCATTGCTCCATTTATCTTATGCCCGTTATTTTCTAATAGTCTATTCTTTCTGTTTCTAACTTTTCACTTCATAGGCAAAGTGTCTTATTAGGATTTTATAATTTGTAAAAAGCATGCTGCAAGAGACCTCACCTAGGTAATATTTTTCAAGCATTCCAATGATCTATACAAAAACATACGAATGTATGAATTCTTTTATCAATCTAAAATTAATGATAGTTGTTGCATTTTGGAACATTCTCAGCTGTAGAGAGATAGAAAATTTAGCGTTTAAGCTTCATACGAATGTTCAACATATAGACAAGAAAGGGGGTCCAAGTGTCATAAGTGATATCAAGATTTCTACGTGAAAGATTATGAAGAATGAAAAAACCATGGTGCTGCTTTAGCTCGATGTACCAAATATACATCATATATAGCATATTACATTGTTGGGGTTACATATATCCAATGGTATGAGAGCTATTCTCAAGACAATGTTGGGCTATTCATTTGGTTGGTAGGATCGTAGTCAGGTAATGGAAGTCGGAGGGCTCGTAGTCGGACGACGATGGTCGGATGGCTCGTAGTCGAATGATGATGGTCGGAGGGCCCATAGTCGGCAGGCGACGGGAGTTTGAGGGACTATAGTTGGCTAGCGACGGAGGTAGGAGAGACTGTAGTCGGAGGCGCGGGTGACGGAGGTAGGAGGGACTTTAGTCGGAGGCGAGGGTGGTCGGAGGAACCGTAGTTTGCGGTAATTGCAATTAAGCATAATACTTCCTCATATGATATAATTCTTACATTAATAAATACTAGTAAAATTAATAAACAAAATATGGGTATATGTGAGTTGAGCTAGCTTAAACTCAATTTGTAAATGAGTTAGCAAGCCAAGTTTATCGAGCTGTGGGCTAGAGCTTGAGCTTGCTTTACCGCTCGTGAGCTTAAGTTTTTGCATGGCGAGGCTCAACTTGTTTTGTGCACTAGCTTGTTAAAATTGGAATCTTAACTCTTGTTTTCCCTATTTTATATTAAATCTTGAGAGGCATCAATTTCTTGATAAAAGGTTTCTTGCATCACGAATCTCATGGCTGTCTTCTTTATGTAGCCTGATGCGATTTCCTCTACTTCCCTCTTCAAATGCCATCACTTGCAAGTCTTTTTGCAACTTACTTTTCTTTTTTCAAACACTGTCGCCAGCAAGGCAGTCACAACATCCTCTTCTTCAATGGCATGCCTCTAATTACATAATGACTTCCTCTTCATCATCCACTTCCCTTTATCAACATATACTTTTGGTCCTATCAATGCCTCGGACTATCTTTCGGTTGACTATGCCTTCTCCAGTTAACACCTGACAAGTTGAACTCGAGCTTGCCATTCAACCAACAAGTTGGGTTTGTGCTTAACATGTGAGCTCAACTCGAGCCTGAGTTCAAGCGTGTTATTAGATTTGAGTTGAGCTCTTATTAGGTGTAACTCGATCTTGGTTCAACTTATTTACACAACTATAATGATGCTCAACAAATTCTTGTCATAAAATGAGAAGTTTAACTTGCTTGCATCTACCAAAATACATACATAAATTAAAACAAAATCCAAATGAAGGATGAATTTTGATGAAGTATCTGTTAACTTTGAGCTAATAAGTAGCTTTGAGATTCAGGCAAAGTTCATATGATGAGTTGGGTGAATTGCCTTGATGGCTTCAAGCATTTTGGCATGAATGATAGTTAGTACACCAGAAATATGCTGACGTGCATTGGTAGCTTGGAACTCCTTAGAAAAGTTTATTATATACTCTCAATGTTTAAAATTGTGCAATTGAGTAATGAGGTATTTTTCATCCTTAAAGCGAGGCATAAGCCTTTAGGCATTTTAAGGAATAAGCTTCAAAATTAAAAAATTACATAAAGTAAAAAATAAGGATTTCCTTTGTATAATTAATCAAACAATATATTAAAAGTTAACCTAAGAAATAAATTGTCATATATATAAATAAAAAAAATGCACGAGATATAAAGTGCGAAGTAATAAATTGTGTTAAATAGAATTGAAATTCAAACATTATAATAATAAAATAACATAAAATATAGTTCAACTCAAAAACCTCTCTTTCCGAATATCCTGCTCATCGACATTTAAATCAAAAAAGAAATAGTAGTGGCATAGCAACTTAGAAGTTTTCACATTATCATCACTGAGGTGGTCCTCATTTGAATCTTCATCATAATGAATTGCTCTCTTCGTTGCCTCGTCACTTGTGGAGTCTAATATCTCAATCGCTTTTTCTTCCTCTATATCAGTTATCTTTTTCTTTCCTAAATTTTTTTCATCAATATAAAGATGAGTAATACTTTAAAGTAATTAAGCTTTAACAAAATAATTTTTATATAGTTTTTTTTTGTTTGTTCTTTTTTTTGCTTGGGTTGTTGTGGATGTAAATGCTTTATTTCTATAACCATTAAAGAAATTAACATTCAAATCTTCCTCTCGTAATTCAAATGGTATTACCTCCACTTCATCATCTACATATCCTTCATCATCTGATGTCATATCCTTACAAATCAAAAGCTCTCGTCATTCAACCCCTTTTTTCTTCAAGTTCATATCTTTAAGCCTCTTATTGTACATAATGTACATTAAGGAATTCATCCTTATGGTTATTAGATGATATCTCTCATTTTTATGCACTTGTTTACATGTGTGCCAGTTATGTTCAAATCCAGATGAAGAGCACATTAATCCCAAAACCTTGACAATGAAACACTTTAATTATGGAGTGTCATCACCAAATTGGACCCACAAGTCAATTGAGACTTATATCAATGATTATAGTAAGTACTAATAGAATGATTTTTAAATAAATGTGAATATATAGTACATTAAAGTAACAAATTATATTACCTAGAGATTGTTAAGTGTAAATTTTGTAGTGTTGATTGTATTTAAATCTAGTAAAAATATTTTATTTTTGTTGTGTTTATTCAAGAAATGTATAGGAAAAGATAAAAACCATTACAAGGGATGAGAAGCGCTGCAGCGCCATCAGACAAAGTGTCGCAGTGTTAGGATTGTCAATGCTGAGGTGCCTAATTCTGATATTGCAGCGTTGGTTTCTCTATATTCTACCACTGCAACAACACCAAGGTCAACGCCGTTGTGCCCAAATTCAACACCGCAGAGCTGGAGCCTTAGAAAAATGAGCAATGGAGTGCGTCTTGCAATGTTTCAGCGCCAAAAATCACATTCAAGAGCCACAACGTTCAAATTCTAGAGTGCCACAATGGAGCAATTGTCGAAACAAAAAGCCGCACCGACTCAGCCAAAAGACGCACCAGTTCAGCCATTAACAGTGCTATGTCATCCTACACCGCGGTAGAGCAAGCATTATAGCGTTTAGGCATTAGTTCATTTTATACTGTCGATGAGGGCCACGACATTTGAGCCTATCCCAATACTTCCAAAAAATTGTTTTTCAGTTCTATTGTTTAAGTAGTTCTGTCACTTGAGCAAAAAATTGTAATTCTTTGTGTGTTTTTTTGTTTTTTAGCACCCCCTTAGTGTAAAATTTAAAGGAGGCTAGATAAGTGCAAAATACTTGGAGATTTTATCCTGTCTTGTGAAAATAACTCTATTGTTGGAGAAAGGAGTATGGAGAAGATCAATTGATCCTTTTGGGTGATAATTTGCTTATTACTTCTATTGTATATCTTTTTTCAATGAATGAAATGAAAATGTGTTTGCCTGTTTCCTCTATGTTTGGCCAATTCTCTAGTTTTGGGCTAATGATGTAAAAGCATATCAAGTACTAATATAAACTCTTGTGCCTTTAATGAATATATAAATGTTTTCAATATCTTTCGTTCTTTATTTAATATCATGTGTAGTTAATATCTAGTGTGATGTATAGCCAGTTGGAGGATTGCTTGAATAATTAGGAGTATTGAAATGAAATGTTGCATGCCTAAACATAAGATGTTTGAATATTTTATATTCTATGGAGATAATAAAAGTGTTGGAATGACATAAACTTTTCTTTTCACCATTACAAGCTCAATAGAGATATAGGGATGCAAATGATTTGATCCATATCGAAAATTAAGAGTTTCATTAGGAAACATATGTTGTTGTATTCATTATTTCAAAATATTTTATTTTCATTAGTGTTAAATCTTCTTGCAAGTTTTCTTTAAGTGATAAAAATTCAAAAATATTCATTTTTATTTTCAATAGGATAAATTGTGCATTTGTAGTAAGCAATAGTAGTGTAATTGCAATTAACCATAACACTTACTCTTCAGATCGACACTAATCTAATACTTTATTACATGATCGGCATGTATACTTGCGTATTTTAGTGGGCTTTCATTTTTTTTATATCAAAGAAAACTTAAGCATATTAACACA